TATGCTGTCATATTCTGGTCTCTTCAAGGATTTTTGGGGAGAAGCAGTATTGACTGCGAATTATATTTTGAATAGGATTCCCACAAAATCAGTCGAGTCAACACCGTATGAGATTTGGAATGGACACAAACCTGAATTAAGTCACTTAAGAAAATGGGGTTGTGTTGCACATGTTCTCATTCCATATCAAGTTAGAGATAAGCTGGATCTCAAAACCTTAAAGTGTAGATTTATAGGCTATTCTGAAAAGTCTAAAGGATATAGGTTCTTCCATGAAGAGAAAGGGGTCATTGAAAGTAGAGATGCTACTTTTCTAGAAAATCTAGAGGAAAAGGAACAAGTTCAAGAGGCAGTACAACCTCTGTTAGACTTAGATGATGTTCCCAACGATGACCTGGACATAGTGGATGAAGTAAATCATCCAATAATGGAAGATGAGCCCTTAAATGAGAATATGCCTATGGAAAATCAACCAGCTGAACCTGTCCAACCTGTCAACCTTAGTGGTAATAAAAGACCCAGAACAACACCTGCATGGTGAATCGGAACAATGGCTGGAAGCCATGAAAAGGGAGCTTGACTCAATAGAGAGAAACAATGTATGGGAACTATGTGACTTACAGAAGATAGGAAGTCCATAGGATGTAAATGGGTGTTAAAGAAGAAATATCGGGTTGATGGGTCTATTGATACATTTAAAGCCCGATTAGTAGCTAAAGGCTTTACTCAGAAGGCATGTATAGATTATCAGGAGACTTATTCTCCGGTGGCTAAGTTTGCTTCTATCAGAATTATCTTAGCAATTGTTGCACATCTTGACTTGGAACTTTTCCAAATGGATGTCAAAACTGCATTCCTCAACGGAGAGTTGAAGGAAGTAATATATATGAATCAACCTGAGGGATTCCAGGTTGAAGGACAAGAAAACAAAGTATATAAATTAAAGAAATCTTTATATGGTTTAAAACAATCAGCTAGACAGTGGTATCTCAAATTTCACAATACTGTTATCCAACTTGGTTTTGTTGCAAATAAATTGGATAACTGTGTATATGTCTTGAAGAGTGGCAGCAGTTTTACAATATTATCCTTGTATGTGGATGATATTTTGCTGGCTGGAAATGACATAGAAGTGCTGAACAGAATCAAGTCAGCACTTAGTAGTGAATTTGAGATGAAGGACATGGGAGATGCATCCTATGTTCTTGGTATACAGATCCTTAGGGATAGAAAGTCTAGAATGTTAAGTCTAAATCAAGAAAGGTATTTGCATACGATACTTAGAAGGTTTGGGATGCAGAATTGTAATCCTGCGCCAACACCTTTGGTTATGGGAAAGCGGTTGTGTAAAGAACAATGTCCTGGAGAAGGACAGAAACCGCTTGGTGTCCCGTATGCACAAGCTGTTGGTAGCTTGATGTATGCAATGTTGTGTACTAGACCAGACCTGGCATATCCGGTGAGTTTGGTTAGTAGATATCAAAGTAATCCTGGTCCAGCACATTGGGAGGCTGTTAAGAGGATTTTGAAATACCTGAAAGGCACTGTGCACCATAAGTTAGTTTATCAAGCAGACTCGCTTGAGGTTCTTGGTTACTCCGATGCTGATTTCGGAGGAGACAAAGATGACGGGAAGTCCACTTCCGGACACTTGTTCATCTTTGGTGGTGCAGCTGTTTCTTGGGGTAGTAAGAAACAGGGATGTGTGGCAAGATACACACAAGAAGCTGAGTACATAGCCTGTAGTATGGCCACAACTCATACAGTCTGGATAAGACGGTTCCTAAGGATGGACCAATTGAGATATACTGTGATAATCAAGCAGCTATCAGCTTGATCAACAGTGGTGCAAACAGTTCTAAAGGAAAACATATTGAGATACAATATCATTATATTCGTGATATTGTGGAAAAAGAAGAAGTCTGTGTGACTTATATTCCTACTAGTGACATGATTGCTGACCCCTTGACGAAGGGTATCCCAGCAGGTACATTCATCAAACATGTTGGTTTGATGGGACTTAGAAATGTCTAAGTCAAGGAAACTTTCATGAATAATGAAAGGAGAGAATCATGGATAATAGTTGTACTCGGTTTATTCACGTAGAGTGAAAAATGCATGTATCTCACGGATAGTGGGAGTATGGAATTACATCTTGAGTAACATCCCATGGATAGTGGGAGTGTGTTTGGAAAGTATTTGGCCATTTCGGCCAAGTGGGAGATGTAAGTGGGTTTGGCCTCATGGGCCAAATAGTTACCCAACCCGTTAAGAACTCGATACGTTTGTTGCGAGAATCTCACGATCTATGGGATTTCTTTCCGTTGCAGAACGAGTCTCACGTAAAGCAACGTACGTGAGGAAAATCGGGAGGCAAATCAGGGCGGTTACCTGGGGACGGAGGGGGGATAGAACGCCCATAAATACAGAAAGAGTTCATCTTCTTCAAAGACACAACTTAGAAAATCTCCACCGGAGTCCCCGATAGCAATCCCTCTCTCGTTTCTTCAATTATAAGGCGAGGAAATATGAATGACAGACCATAAACTGTCGGTTTTATAACTTCTTACTTACTCTCCAAACTAATGTTTATCTCATATTGCCTCCTAAACTATCAATTTTAATTTTGCATATCCCCAAAACTATTTCCAGTCTCATCGTAAACCCTAAGCATTGTAAGCCTCGCCCTCCCTCCTCCTCCCCTCCTGAAAAACTCTATCCAAACGCAGCGTAAGTTATCACTTTTTTTCTTATTAATCTAGGTTAAACACCATCAAAATAATAAATAAAAAATGATAATTAGATATAAAGTAATAATTCAAGATTAAACTGAGACAAATTTAATAGTCTAGGGGCAAGATGAGACAGAAAATAGTTCAAGGATAAGCAAGAGACAATTTCAATAGTTAAATGTGTATGAACTAAAAATAATTCAAATGATAAGAAGGAAAAGATATATTGTTTGGAGAAGTAGAGTATAGAGTCTAATATATGTGGCTATTTAGAATCCTGAGCATCTTTTTTCCAACAAAAGACACTGACTGTCGATAAATTAGGGGGTTTTGCACATAATCTCCCTAAACTTTCTAAATTCTGTTAAATCTCACTAAACCCTCAATTGTGGACTTTTCTCAACCCAGACAACGTTAATTGCCATTTTAAAAAGATCAAGATAGTATTCAAATATTCAGAAATATTTAATCGAATATTACTGTATGTTTATTTGATTAACATTTCATAGTTATGAATATTGAACTATTTAATTTAAAATATATTTTTGTTCAGATAAAGAAATTTGGTTTAAAACTGGTACATACCTCTTTAAAATTTTCAAATAAGTATAACACACACGCGCGCGCGCGCACACACACATATATGTGTGTGTGTGAGCTTATGTCAACTTAAGTAGATAGGAGGTATTGTCCACCAAACTTTTTATCCACTCATATTGTCTTTAGATTTATGCCATCAAGAGATGCACAAATCTAAAAAAGACTCTTCATATCTTTCACGGATCTCAATGCAACATCAATGGATAAAAAAGTTGTGGATAACTAGTATATATATATATATATATATATATATATGTGTGTGTGTGTGTGTAGTATGTATTTATGTACATACAAACATACATACATACATGTACAAATGAAACCTATCATCATATCAATGCTATAGGTAATTGTGAGGCTTAATATGAAAAGATTCAAGATAAAAAATTTATTACTAAGATAAAGCAAACCTGAGGGGTATATATGTAAAAATCCCAAAAAACAAAGGTTGATGGTGCAAAAATCTAATGATGAAGAATTGAAGGGTATAAAGCAAATATCTAGTTTTTAGGGGAAAATTTGGAAATAGTAAATTTGAGGGGTATATATGCCAAAACTAAAAAAAATAAATGTAAATTGTACAAACATTTAATGTTGCAAATTTGAAAGATATGTTTGCTAATACAGTAGGTGTATATGCAAAACTTGAAACAAATATTGGGGATAAATTTGCAAATAGGAACAATTTATATGTGCAAAAAAAAAGATCACATTTTTCAAATTTGATGGTTAAGAGACAAAAGTTATAACTTATTGGATAAATTGCACTTAAATACCATATAGTTTCCCACTTCTTGCATTTAAATACCACAAGTTGTACTTTGGTGCAAATAAATACCATAAAGTTTCTAAAATTTACATGTTACTACCATCGTCATGCAGATGTGAAAAATTTTCATCTAAGTGTTTCACTGATATACTTATATACTAATTGTAGAGCTTTCTAACCACTATTATTCGTTAAAATTTTCATTAGAAATATCACTAGTCTATTTTTGAGTTGAGTTAAGATAAGTTTTAAAAAGGAATTTGGTTGATTTAATAGCAAATTTAATAAATATTATTAGTTAAAAAGATCTAAATTAGCATATAAGTATCATATAGTTTTCGCGTTTGCATGACCGATGATGGTAATATGCAAAATTTAGAAACTTTATGGTACACCAAAATGTAACTTGTGATATTTAAGTGCAACAAGTTGGAAACCATATGCAATTCAAGCGCAATTTACCAAACTTATTGGGTGATTTTCCAAAAAAAAAACTTTAAAGAGTTATTTTGGTCGTTTGACGACCTTTGACTTGCACTTGACATGTCGACACTAAACAGTACTAGGTTTCGATAGTTTAATGAAGTTCGCAGAAATTCATCCTAATCGTGCATTTGGACTTCATCATGGTAGGGGAAGTGAAGGTAAATTAAAGGAAAGAAAAGATGAGAAATTAATGAAATTCCCTTCCCCTCAGTTCCACTCTAATCTGGGCATGAACAAAACTTGTATACGACGGGAGCGAATCGGAATCCGTTTCCCCTTAAACTTTCCTTCTCCTCTATTCCCTCAATCCAAACAGGGTTTAAGAGAAATTAGTGAATTAAGATTGTGCATGCATGCAGCTTAAAAATAATTGGATACCGGATTTTTTTTAAAAAAAAAAATTGGATACTGACCTTCTTGCAGAGGGCGTGCCACCCCTGACAGGATAACCATTGTACTTGGCCGAGCGAACGGCCGAAACAAGAGCGCCCTCAGCTGTCTCTGCAGTCCTGAAGCATGAAAAGCCCGATGGATCTCCGTGGCCTAAATTAATCATCGGCTTCCCACTGTTCTTGTCAACATTTTCTATCAGTCTCTTGACCACCGCACGAACATTGAGGTCACCTGCAGCGGCAAGCGAGCAGCTCGGCTGGAATCGCCATTTCACCTCCATTACGCAGCGCCTACAATTTGTTACGCGGAATGAATTAATGTCGGCGTTTTATTGAGGTTCGCCTTTTACTTATGATTGGCATAACTGATGCACGAGAGGGGCTAAACGTACGTATAATTAACTACGTGTTAATTTGTTCACGCGACCTCGTCCTATTGGCTCTTTCCTCTTGACAGAAAATAAAATAAAAAAGGGGAAAAATAAATAAACACAAGAAAACAATGCTCCGTACACGTCGTAATTTCTTTGCTCCAAATGTTTTGCTGTCATCATTCATCAGACACCCGATTTAAATAAGAAAAGAGAACCATCAGAGGTGATGTCGTAACGGCCGCGTGTCCAAATCGGATACGAGTTTACGTAGCGTCAAAACATTGGGTTAAAGTGCGGATAGACATCCTCGGTATCGCACAATTGACGATATAACCCCTACGGTTCTAATCGTGCGAACAGATCCTGAGCGAACTTTTTTTTACTCTGGATTGTTTGGATTGGAGCCCAGTGAAGAGAAGTTACGCGAATATAGCGTAAGCTAAGTGCACGTAGGAGAACATGTAAAATTTGTTTAGCAAATTTGTAAGGGAAACGAAGGGGAACTCAATTCACCCGGTTCGAGAAGTTGAATAAAGTGAAAGGAATGGAAGTGAATATACGTGAAATTACATAAATAAAGGTTTTGAGAGGAAATCTCAACCATTGGATTAGATCTTGATAAAGGGTAAAAGAGTCTACATATAATGGTTGTTTTCCCCTCCCTTCCCTTCGCCCCCATTACACCCCAATTTGGGGTGTAAGAAAAACTCTATTTTTTAAGCCTCCATTACCTTCCCTTCACCCTCACTACCTAACTTAATTTCATTCCCAAACAAGGTTAAACCTTACCACAACTTCCCCTCCCCCTCATTACCCTCAATCCAAACACACCGGATAGATCCCCAAATGCTATTTTCTTTTCCTCTAAGCGTACAAAAATGTTCACCGGGGTTCTATACGCACCTTGAAAAATTTACAAAGAGTCTATCCACACAATTAGAACGACAGAGGTCTATTTACAGCAAGGTGATACTACAGTTAGTCTACCTGTAGTTAACTTAAACATTTTTCTTAGCGAGAGGACCCATTCACACCCGAGATCGAAGCATGTTTGACCAAGCTATGACATGTTACATCACCTGTTAGGAGTAAACTTTCTATCAAAACACCCCATTTAACGCAGCGCAGAAGTAAAACCTCGGAATCCACCAAGGATGTTCTCTGAATCCATAAAGAACGATCTCCGAATTCACGAAAAAATATTAAAAGAGAAATTTTATTGATGAAAATATATGCCTCTAGGGCTTACAATACTCTGCTTAAATAGAAAGTAAACAAGACCCCTACTATGACTCAAACTTTACCAAAAACAGAAAAAATAAAACTCTTCCTAAAAAAACTTCCTAGGATTAGGGAAGTAAATCAATCAAATTTGGGATCAAATCGGATTTACTTTCTAATTAAATAGACTCTTAAATTATTACCTAAAATAGTAAAAAACTAACAAAAACGCTGATATCTCTCAATCCAGAGGGAATTTGGCGAAACAGACGGTGACAAATCGAACAACGATGGGTTTTGTTGACTCTGTCTCGAAAAAATACGCGCTCTTAATATACAATTCGTCCAATTCCGACATACTGAAAAGAGCTTGTCTGTCCCGCTTTCTTCATAAATATGCCCATTGTGTGTTCTACATCAGTCCCCCCTGCTTGAAAAGAGCTTGACCCTGAGCTTACACTTGCATGAATAGTTTTTTTGGCGGGTAATACTCAAATAAATCTAAAACATTAAAACTAGGAGAAATAACCAAATCTATAGAAAGGTCAACGACATAAGTATTGTCGCTAATCTTCTTCAGTATTTTGAAAGGGCCATATTTTTTACTCTTCAGTTTATTATAGGTGCCCACTAGAAAACGCTCTTTTCGCAGAAACACCATCACCATGACTCCCTCTTCAAACCTCTTCTTCCTCCTGGGTCGATCAGCATCGGCCTTATATTTAGCATTAGACTTCTCTATCTTCTCCTTTACTTCATGTTGGATAGCACGTATCTTATCAGCCATATGATCTGCATGAATACTCTATCATGTAAGCTTAGACAGTGGAACTAGATCAAGATAATGATTCAGAAGCCTTCCATATACAATCACAAAGAGAGCCCTGCTTGTAGTTCGACTCTCCATACAGTTATAAATAAATTTAGCATGTGTCAGAGCAAGATTCCACTGTTTCGGACGATCACCGGGGATGGATCTAAGAAGATTATCGAGAGTGCAATTTATCACTTTAGTTTGTCCATCCGTTTGAGGGTGATAAGCAGTACTAAATTTAAGTGAAGTATTGAATCGCCGTCACAAGTTCCTCCAAACGTGAGATAAGAACCTGGAATCACGATCAGATGTGATGGATTTTGGCACTCCATGAAGGCAAACTATCTTCCGAAAGAAAAGATTAACAATGTTGCTAGTATCTGCTGTCTTTTTGCATGGAATAAAGTATGACATCTTTGAAAACCTATCAACAATAACAAAAATAGAATCCATGTATCATTGGGTTCTAGGGTGTCCTAACATAAAATCCATCAAAATATCATGCCATAGCGCATCAAGAACAAGTAAGGGTGTAAACAATCCCGTATTTTGGGACCGCCCCTTAGCAATTTGACAAACTTGACAAGTTGGACAACGATGCACATATTCTTCTATCCCCTTCTTTAGCTAAGGCCAGTAATATCGCTCTTCAATGGAAGCAATCATCTTATCACGCCTCAAATGTCCTCCTAACCCGCCAGCATGATGATCTTGTATTATCTGCTCTCTTAGTGAATTCTGGGGTATGCACAACTGATCTTCATGAAATAACTAACCATCCTGAATATAAAACCTCTGACTAACTGATTTTGTTGGCAGTCATTCCAAATTTCCTTAAAGTCTTCATCTTCTGCATACAACTCCTTTAGGTATTCAAATCCAGTCACTTTTTCCTGCAAAGTCACCAACTAACCAGCTCTCCGACTGAGTGCATCTGCAACATTATTCCATTGCCCAGACTTGTGCTTCAAAATAAAGGTGAAACACTACAGAAATACGATCCAACAAGCATGCATACGATTGATGATAGTCTGACTATTGATGGACTTCAAAACCCTGATGGTCGGTATTAAGCAGAAACTCTCGCAAGATCAAATAATGCTCCCAATGTTTCAAAGACTGAACTATATCATATAACTCTAGTCCATATGTGGTCCACTTCTGTCGAACTTTGCTAAGTTTCTCACTATAAAAAGCAATGGAACGCTCTTCTGGGGATAGAACACCACTAATTCTTATGATGGACGCATCACAATCAACTTCAAATACCTTTTGAAAATCTGGAAGAGTAAGCACTAGTGCTGTGGATAACTTCTCCTTCATTAGTATAAAACTATGGTCCGCATCTTCCCCCACCAATTAAACTTGCCTTTCTTCATGCACTCAGTGATAGGCACTATAATGTTGCTAGAATTTCTGATATATCTCCTATAGAAAGTTGCTAGGTCATGAAAACTACGAAGTTCACTGACAGTCTTCAGTGTAGGCTAATCTCGAATAACACACACCTTCTCTTCATCAACATGGATGCCCTCTGCACTGACGACAAAGCCCAAAATAATAGGCTACTGGCCATGAAGTTGCACTTATTCAAATTGATATACAACTTGTTCGCTTGCAAAGCCGTTACTACCTCTCTCAAGTGATCCAGATGCACGGTCTCAGTCTGACTATAAATAAGGATATCATCGAAGTAAACTATAACAAACTTGCCGATAAAGGATTTTAATACCTGATTCATTAACCACATGAAAGTGCTAGGAGCATTAGAAAGGCCAAAAAGAAATGACCAACCATTCATACATGCCTTCTTTTGTCTTGAAGACAGTCTTCCACTCATCTCCTTCTCTAATCTGAATCTGATGATAACCACTCCTGAGATCTATTTTGGAGAACATTTTTGATCCAGACAACATAACTAGCATGTCTTCAAGGCAAGGGATAGGGAATCAGTACTTCACGGTAATCTTATTGATAGCACTACTATCCACACACATGCGTCACTCTTCGTTCTCTTTGGGACTTGTAATGCTGGCAAGACACACAAACTCATGCTAGCTCGTATAAGGCCTTTCTGGATGAGATCGTCCACCTATTTCTGCAAGATCTCTCCTTTCTTCGGGCTCAATATTCGATAGTGTGGCAGATTCGATAGTCGGGATCCAGGGATGAAGCCAATCTAATGCTGAATGTCTCGAAGCAATGATAGTTCAGAAGGAAGTTCGTTAGGCATAACTACATCAAATTATTACAAGAGGGTCTGTACTTCATGTGAAATTTTGGTGAAGGTAGAATCCTCGTTTCCTGATACAACAAGAGCGTAAACCTCGTCAGACTGCTTCAAATCTTTTATAAAATATTCATTGTCACGGTATGTCGCAGATGGTATCGAATCCAAGTGCACAAGTTAATTATCACAGTATGTCACAGAATGAATACCATGTTGGCTGGAGAAAAGTGTAGAGATATTATATTGGGTGAGGGAATATTGTTCAAGGTGGGCCTTTATCTTAAAGAGGGTATTTGGCCAGGAGGATGAGAGATTTATTTCAAACTTGGTCCCTAGGAAGCATCTGAATGGGCGCTCATTTGTAGGTGGAGTCATGTTGAAGTCTGCAACAAGTCTAGAGCCCAGCTTAGGAGTGTGTCGTGGAAGAAAATCTCATCCTAGCTAGAAGATAGTGTAGAGATGGTTTATACTGGATGTTTGATATAAACATTGCTAGAGGTCTCCACCTCATCTTCAAGAGGGTATTCGGACACGAGGAAGAGAGGTTTAAGCCCAACTTGGATTGCTAAGAAGAGTTTATATTGGAATCCAACTCAAGATGGAGTCATGTTGAAGCCTGCAACAAATCTAGAGCGGAGTTTGCAACAAGTGGGGTTGGCATCAAGTCATCAAAGGGCTTGACATCAATCAGAGTGCATCAATAGCCCCATTGAGCCCTTTGAGAGAGGGGACATAACGTGAAGGATTTCTTTGCATTAGATCTCAACAAGTTTCAACTTATAGTCAGAAGGTTGTAAAGAGGAATTGCTATTTTTCGAGAGTGGCTTCATACAAGCCTAAGGTGGAGATTTATGAGAATTTAGCCTTGTATTTCAACCCAGAATGTGAAGGAAGTGTCAGAAGTAGAAATTAAAGTGGCGGCTAAGAGTTTTGACAGTATTAACGACCAGTTGGATCGACTAGTCTGACACAGTAAACCGATAACGATGTTTCTTTATCAAATTAAAAATCCCATTTCAATCTCTACTCGAGTTTAAACCTATAAATATAAGTATTCAATATCTAGGTTTGACATGGAGCCCAAGAAAATCTGCAAATTGTTAAAAGTTCAATAAGACTGTAGAGAAGAAATGAAAGAGAAAATTCTTAGGATTTGTTAGAAACTTTTATGATTAAGAGGAGGATTTCAAACGGTGATTTGAAGAATACAAGAAATGTTATATATAATTTGTAATATTTGAAAGTAAAGTAGATTCGAATATATCCTTATAGATGTAGGCAATTGTCAAACCGCATAAATCATTATCTTTGCGCTTGTTGTTATTTTTAGCTTGATTACTGTGCTTTTTTATTTGTTCCAATTAGTTTTTCTCATGTTACCTTATTGCAAATAGATTGTTTCCCTTGTTAGTAAGAGTAGATCTAATTTTCCTCATAGTAGATTATTTTATCTTTGCCCGTGATTTTTACTCAAATTCATTTAGGGGGTTTTTCTGTGCGTTCATTTTATTACTTTTCGCTCCACTATTCGCTAGGACCCTGCTCTGTTGGGCTCCAGATTTATTCCAACATATACCAAATATATATCATTTACAAAAAATTTGAAGCTAGGAAAAAATAGATTCTTTTTCTTGCTATTAAGATCAGATGATTTGCTAGGATTTTAGGATTTCAGATTTAGTTAGGATTCGTTGCAATTTCATTGATCTTATTAGCCAGCTTGAATTTTATTTGTTAGTAAGATTTTGTTATTCCTACGAATATGCTTGTACCGCATTTTGTGGAGAGGAGAGAGTCTATAAGTATGGTTTCCTGTGTCTAACTACTAACTAGCAACATTAGGCATATGTGTTGCCGGGTCATATGTGTTGCCGGGTGTGAGGGCTCTTGTATCTTATATGGCTGAGTTGTTTGGTGTGAGACACAATTTGTATCTTTTTATTTTTTTTATTTTTTATTTTTATTTTATTATTCATAGAATCATAAATCTAAACCCTTCAGTTGTTGCTCATCAATTAGCATTAGAGTAATCTCAATCCGTGAATGAAGATTAAGATTTTGATGTAGATTTTCTAAAGCATAACATGATGGAGCTAAGATTAAAGCGAAGATCGACACTCGGTGATATTCATTTGGTTCATTTCAAAACTTGAGTCGAGTTTTCTCCAAGTAGAGATATCTGATGCAGGAGAAAAAAGATTCTCTTTGTAACTATTAGATTAGGAAATTATGATAGGATTTTGATTTTAGTTGGAATTTTAATTTTATGTAGGATTAACTGAAATGTTATTCCATGTTTTTTATTCATTAGGATTTTATTTGTTCTGAGGGTTTGCTTTAGTGATGAAAATATGATTGTACTTCTTCATTTTTGGGGGAGAGGAACTTTGTTACTATTCTTTGTTGATGTGATTTACAATGTTAGGTAGGTGAGTTGCAAGTAATGACGCATGCTGATGCAAGGAAAAACCTGATAGATTGAGTAGGCAAGATCGGACTCGATGTTGAGGGCTTCGTGATCATCCTAGATAACTGATGATATTTGCTTGAGATTGCTTGTGATACAAAGGAAAAAAACATTAGATTAACACTGGTGGGCTATCCAATAATGTCCCTCTGATGCCTAAGTAAGACTCTTGATAAATGTCAAAACAATAGGAATTTAGGTTAGGATTTCTGAGAAGAGGGTTCATAGATTGAAGGTCGGTGGTGCTGAACCTTCAATGGCG